TAAAAACGTGAGCTTTCGTATAACCAAGAGCCATAATTCAAGAAGTTATGGTCCAATATGCGCAAATATCGAAAGGAATCAAGATCTCTGGATTAGAATCGTACATTTCAAGTTTCATCAAAATCGGATAAAAATTCTGACTTACAGAGTGTCCACAACCTTGGTATTACATACTTTTACACTATTTGTGTACAAGGAGCGGCTATTTTGTCCGGCAACTTGGGTCAGATTTTTACGAAATTCGAACTCAACGTTCATTGATGTGTAACAGTGATATATTTAAACGTTTTTTTTTTTAAATTGAATACAAATTGATACATATGGCGGGTCCACAAGCTAAAAATGCGATTTTTCGAACAATCGGGGTCCATAATCTAGGACGTTACGTTCGGATATGCGCGATTATCGAAAAACCAAGATCTTTGTGACATAAACATAAATTTAAAGTTACATTAATATCGGATCAAAATTGTGACCTCTAGAGGGTCCACAACGTTGATATACCATATTATACTTACCCTATATGCGTACGAGGGGCGGCCATTTTGTCCGGCATTTTGAGTTCGGTTTTCACGAAATTTGAACTCAACCATCATTAGGGTGCAACGGTGATATATTCAAACGTTTATTTTTAAATGGATAAAAATTGTGACCTTTTATCCAGTGACAATCATTTTTTTTATAAATTGTCAGATATCCTCTCACAGTCTCATATATAATTATGAGAGAGCCGAAATTCGCCCGTGTATCTGTTATCGCTTGTTACTTAAGTCAGTTATATAGAAGGATAACTCGTGTTTTCCTTTTGCTTTCATCACTTCCGTTTCTTCAAATCTTCGTTATTGATCTATCGTAGCAATTATCTCTGTGTTAAAATTATATTTGGAACATGTTTAACCAGTTCTATCACATATGTGATAATGGCGGACTCCAATATTGTCCTTTAACCAAAATAAAAGGGCCAAATCAGCAAAACTGGACTCCACACAATAGAATAATTAAGAGTATATGGGCTAATTAAACACCCTAAAAATTAACCACAGAATATTATGCGTGGTAGGATGAGGCAGTTGCCCATCGCCACGCTTCTTCTCGCTGTTCTTCGAATGGTATATATCTTGGGAACTCTTAATTGCACTATGTCTTGTTAGTATTTAAAGAGGATATTTGTCGTTTTAGAGTGAATAACATATTTTATTTCATCGAGAAGCAAGAAAACTTATATTTTCACGAATGCTAAATATAAATGTTTTCTTGCTTAGAGATGAAATAAAATATGTTATGCACGACAAAACGACAAATGTTCTATTTATTTTATGATTTTACAATCATTTTAGGTAAAAACAACTAGCCAGTGGAATAACACTTTTATTTCACTGATAAAACGCGGTATTCCACTACTGATCATAAAATAAAATGTGTTATTGCCGCAACAATGTTTGGAAAAAAAGTTAATCTCTGTTCACGTCGGGATTAACATCTTTTACATTATAGTTTCTCATCAAATTCACTAAACATAATAAAGCATTGTCGTCTCATGTGAGTGCAAAGAGGTGTCGTTGTGAAGTTTTAACCCAATTCTATCTGTGTACGTCCTTGCATTTCATTAGTAATACTGTTATTATACATAACATGACATTAAACTCAAAACAAATGCCCTATTATTTACATTTAAACCAATAACTTCCTGCAACGGTCGCCAAATACAAGAATCTCTGTAATTTTAAAAGCTAAGTTTTTATCGGTCATTATCCCTTGGCTTAAAGTACTGGCCCTTTAATCACAACGAGTTTTTGTATTTAGCGACTGAAGTATAATTATATATACTAAGTTTAAATAAATACGTCAAAGGTCATCACGAACTTACTATTTAGCTGACGGGAATGTCACATTTTTCAAGGTTATGGTCTAGATTGTAACTAATCATAGCGCATTAAAATGTGGACAATTATTCATTTGTTTTCCCTGGCCATCCACAATCACAGAGATGATGAAAAGGGACAAGTTAATGAGGCCTCAATATTAACTTTTTATTTTCTGTAAATTAAAGTAGCTAAGTCTATATTTAACTCAATATCATCCAAAGTCTTCGACATCGAAAACACGAATTTTTTGTCAATTTAAATCAACATTGGTGTTGTTGTCGTATCGTGAAAAGATGGGCTTATGATATTCAATATTTAAGACAAAATAAACATTTTACCATTGGTACACGAATAGTGTACCATAATGCGTTTCAGTGCCATTTGTAATAAGGGACTCGACGAACAAGGCTAGACATATTCCACAAGTCATGTCAAACGGTGAGGCCATATTCTTATCCGGAGAACATGCGCAATAAATACTATAGGTGTAGACTGGAATAACCAGACCCTAGAGACCGCCATTCGATTGACACTTCTGGCGTATTTCACCGAACATAACTGATTTGAAAAACGGGTACGATTATTATATTATTATATGCGTTGCGACCCATTTGTGTCAATTTCTATAGATCCCAAATATTAGCGAATTAGCCCCTTTAAATTCTAAAACATTTTTAAAATATTTATTAAGAAAATCAAAATTTACGGGCAAATTTAAAATTCAGTTTTCGACTACTCGTACAAAAAGCACGAAAAATTGTTTTTCTAATTTCTACCCCCTCGCTATGTACAGCACAATGAGTGGCACAAACCACCGAGCATCACACCTCACACTTCGGTCGACACTGGCACACATGGTGCTGCCATCGGGACGGTATGCATTGGGAACCACGTTCATATGTTAGCCTAATCATGTCTAGCACAAGTATATAGTTTCAATAACGCATACGTCGGCTAATTAATTACTAGCTATCCCAACGCACTACACGTATTTGTTTAAACGATTCCTTATCAAATAAACTTGCCATAGTTAATATAATGAACTCGCGATTATGCTAAAGACGTCATAACATGTTATTGCAATCGGATCTTCTCGTTACATTCCGTTTCATCATTAATGATCTCGATGATGCAAATGAAGACTTCATAAAATGGCAATTTCCAACGTTAACGTATGGAAAAGATGATTCATGGTGCTATTACAATAATATTTGCATTGATTTCGACATTTCATATAACGCATACGGTAGTTGAATAAACTTTACTAAACACGGACACACTGATATTTATATTAAACTCGTAAACATTTATGATAAACAACTAAAACTACTAGATCATTGATTTAAAGGCTGCCGATTATCAGAATACAACCAAAGTGTAATTTATTGTAAATGTTCACGGTGGGTCTTCACCTTTTCATGAAACCAATTAGGTTAAGTACTTTGAATTGGTAACATGAACTTTGCTGAAAAAGAAATTAAACCTTGGTGTCCTTTCAGATTAAGAGTAATCGTATTATACAGAATCCAAAGATTGGCCTCCTGGAAGAATGCGGCGGTCATGGGTGTGTGTGTGTGTGTGTGTGTGGGGGGGGGGGGGGGGCTTTTTATCTACACGTTTAGAAATGAAAGTATTAACTACACGAGCAGATTTAATGTTTAATAAAAATGTGTCAATTAGAAGGGTAATTGGTCCTTTCCCCGTCATTTTTTCGAGGTCTATAGTGTACAAGTTATTTGCCCTTTGTTGTTGAAAACAGCACCACCACCATCCTAAAATTCCTGGATCACCACAAATTAGCTATTTCGGGACTAATACATGATATACCTTTATTTATTGGGAAGGAAACAGGAAAACCCGGAGGAAACCCACGGGGTTAGGCAGACGTCCGTACCCTATTGTGATCTAAAGCGCACACGTTAGACACACCAACACCCACTTCACCCTACTCCTAATTGCCCCTCTAAAAACGTTAAAGGGCCAATCTCGATTATATTTTGGAGAATAAAACTGCTTAAATTTGTGTGAAAAGCCCTTAAAAACCTCTACCTTAGGGTCGGGCAACTAACTCAATATACGTGATACGTTTTCAAACAACTTAATCCATGCAGTCTTCATCTGATACTAGGGACCAATGCCCCTAGCTGCATTATACCTCGAAAGAAACAGCAATAGGTTATTAGGTCACCCAACGAAAAACAGACCCGAAATCTTAAAAGGTTTACGTGTCCGGATAAGCGGTTTTGACGTTCTCGCCCAAACGGCTCAATATTTTAATCTGAAATCTTCAGAGAAGGTAAATACACCATTCCTCTATATTTTGGCGTTTAAATGTAATACGTACACAGACTTTTATTTCTGAGACTGTGAAAATCGGGATGGTCCCTTTAAGGGCCAAGTTGGCAAGACGGCGTTTTACACCAACCGAAAGTTGAGTCAGAAATCCAATTTCTCTTTCTGTCTCCTTTTTTATTACAAATGTAAATAATCATGTTATACGAAATTGATACAAAGTATATAAATATTTGACACTGGATAAACAAACATTATTAATTTACGTAGATGTCGCTATTACCCAGGTGTGTGCAAACTGTGGGGTAATAGGGTGCAATTACCAACCGTGGAGGCAGAATAATACTGATATAACGATTTATAAACAAGTCAAGTTCATATAAGTTACCTTGGCTGTAACTAAGTAATCCAATGATTCACCCCTTGTTAACCCACACACTTTCTTATTCCTAGTATCGATATCTGGGGTCACTTTATTCATCTTTGAATGAGCAATTGAAATTATGATTTTCTGATAAACATCAGCCACTTACAATGGGGAAGTTGTGTTTATGGTTGATAGACGAGCCTACTGCATAAGTAATAAAATATTAACCTCGCTTCATCCGAATTCTTATTACTATGCTATTATGGATAATTTACATGTATATATGTATTACTCGCAATGAGTCTCCGTTATAATTAATACCCATGTCTTCTCTAAATGTCTATCAAAGACGTTCACGAAAATCAATTGAAACTATAACACTGGACCCCACTCCACCACGCCCACCCCATACAAGCATGTTGCCGGATCTTAGTTTAAAGATGTGTCAATTAAAAATAACCTTAAAAGAAACTTACATCTTTTCGAGCTGGCTCTTCCGTCCTTTCCGTAAATTGTTTTTGCCCCTTTGTTTCGGCTTTCGGGGTATCTACTCCAACAACCATGATGCTGCTTTAGGTTGATACGTGTATGTTTAAACAAAGAATTAAACAAAGTTCCAAATTTTTTTCAGAAGTTATTAAATTGTATTCATAGAAATCTGTGAAACGTTTTATGTAACGTTTCGCAAATTTGAAATAAAAACCATTAAGAAAAATATTCGGATCAATACTGTTACCGAACCCTTCTGAATCTCCACTCTAAGTCTTTCAAAAGTCAATTTCAAATCAACACTGCCAATGCAGTTTTGATCACTGGAACCACAAGTTAGTTTCTTTAAATTACTGACACTGTATATGTGATAAAGTCGATTACCAGTTATTTTATCCAAACCACAACGTTTTTAGATGTTGTGTTTTTGCTCCTAAGACCTAAACACAATATACTTTTAATCTACCCACAACAACTGTTTAACACTCCGCACTGTGAACTCACTCACAATAAGCAGACGTCAAAATAAATTTGAACCACCATTCCATTGACGTAGAACGCAAAGTTTCAACTGACAGGTCATGTATAATGTGAACTTATATATAAAACTAAAACAACGATATATATATACACGCGCGCATTCATCATCAACATTGGACATATAGGTATATACAATAAATACATCGTATATACACTATCGCATGCGCGTCGCACGTGTGTTTAAAAATAGCACCACGAGTAGAAGCAGACGTCTAATTGTTATATTTACTTATATTTCTAGGATGTAAAATTGAGGTCACTTTCCTATGACTAGGCTGCACGTGGTGTACATAATAACGTTGTTATTTGAGAAACATAGTAATTTATTGATTTGAAAACTGGGGTCAAAAACTAACATGTCAGAATTATGCGAGCATTTGAAGCAGCTGGGTCAAGTATGCAATAACAGTGACGAATCGTCAGCAGCCATGAATATAATGAGGGGTTCGCCAAGGTTCTCTACTTTTCTTGTAGATATTTCTAACATTCGTAAGTTTTTTTAATGACCTTAGTTTATTTTCTGTTTTAAACGCAATGGATAAGATGATAAGTTAATAAAAAGAATAAGGCGTTTACAATTTTGATCAAAATCTACGAAATCCAAACAAACTGTCCCTTAAATTGGGAAAAGAAAATGGTCGTTTTCCACTTTCCCTATAGATGGATACCAACCAACCATTACCAACTAGCATCCTGTTTGGATTTGGGCTCAATAACAGAAACATTATTTTCCATGTGGGTGTATTAAAAGTAATTAGATGACACAAATTTTTAATTGCATATTTATACGACAAGTTTTACCATTCTCACTCAATTAGAATCGAAATTGTCGAGCTCCAATATGTCGACCAATCAAATTGCTCATCATCGAACTTAGTTAAGGTATATATACGACTGAAACTATACTCCGACTTTGAGCTACAGAAACTCGCAATCAATTGGAATCAAAGTTATCATGTTCCAAAACATCAACCCATTAAACGTTCAAGATACCGATGTAATGAAACTATAGGGAAAGCGCATCATCGAACGTAATTAAGGTATTTATGTAATGATATACGCCACGTTTACCCATTGTCACTAAATTAGAATCAAAGTGTTGAGCTCCATTATTAATTTGCTTATCACTCTGCTTAACTTGAGCCGAAAATGCTCATTATCAAACTTAGTCACGGTATTGATGTAATGAAACTATACACCAAGTTTCAGCACTCTGGCCTAACTAGAAATAAAGTTATCGTGTCACAAAGCATCGACCAATCAAATTGCGTATCTATGCTTAGCCTAAGTAGAAAATGGTCATCATCGAACCCAGTCAAGAAGGCATTCGTATATTATACTTGCACAACATCAAGTTTGAGTTATTGGGTCCCAAAAAGTGTGACAGACAGACCCATTTTAATAGTCCCCTGTTTTCTTCGAAGGGGGTGGGGGGGGCAATAATGCTAAAACTCTAAATGTAAAAATCCGAATGATAGACGAGACAATTTTCATATTAATGCTAAAGTCCCCTAGGCACAAGCGTAGTTGAAATAAAATTGAACCGTTATGTTAGCCCCGATAAGATCTAGTTGATTATGTTAGCCCCGATAAAATCTAGTTTATTATGTTAGCCCCGAAAAGATCTAGTTTGAGTCGAGTGGAAGTTAACAACCCACAACTCTTTATGATGTTTCTGAGTGTAATTAATTAACAGGTGATTAACAGATGGTTATGATGTATCTTGGTGAAAAGTGTACTTACGCTTTCTATATAACACCTGTCGTTACTTTATTGGTGATGTCAACTGATTCTGACTGTCACCACTGTTATCTAACATTTTGTCTATTTTTACATGTCGGGGTATTGTTTTAAGATTATCTGATTTAAGGTCTGGCAGACACTTTACGTGGTTCATTTTGAGACTAACATACCGTCATTTTATGTTCCCGTGCGAGAATTTTGAGTTTTGTAAGTACAGTGGTGTTGCAACTTCGAACTGCCAAGTGATCTTTTACATGCACAACCACTTTGCTCACAGGACTGAACGGGTTCTAGAACATAAACCTTCAAGGCAAAGGGATGGTTCCCAGTTTGCATGCCTATGCTCGTGGTTACCCAGGTATTCGATTTACTTATTTTAGTTTTCTTACGCTCTAGTTGAATTTGGGTTTATTTTATTCTTTAATTCTAGAAGGCTACGATGATTGTATCATACTAGCAAAAGCCCCCATAGTAATAAAATAAAAAATATAATCTTACTTCAGGGATAGAAAGTAGATTCATCTTCAGAAATCTTGGAACGGAAGCAGTGGAACGCAAACCGGAATCTCTAATACAGGCTTGTCATAACCCAACAGTTTTATTTATCAAAATCTCAGCTGTTTTACCACGACACATTCGCGCACTTTTTTGTTTTTATTTTGCTTTCGGAATGGCTAAAACGGTTATTGCGCAACATTTATCTGGTACTTCACAACGGGGATAAGTATGGCACTATGGATTGTCTTATGAGGGTGCATAATACACCCAAGGTAACGAGTTCCGTTTCTAATCACTTTAAATCGCAAATATAACAGAACTGGGCACTCATTTAGCGATAACTAACCAAATTGACACACGGCACTGGAAACGTTATCGCTGGTCAATATCAAAATAACAATAAAATACTTGAGTATATGTTCATATATTAATGTAGGCCATATATGAATCCAATAATCTCGTGTTTCAATTAAATATACGGCTGACTAACAATCGATTATCATGAGATCGAATAATACCTTAGCGGTGTATTACAAAAACTGTCATCGTGTCTATAATACACGTTTAAAGAGACACGAAGTCAGTATTAAAAAGTTTTATAAAGAGTTGGCCATTCTTGCTATAATAATTCAAAAATAGATGATAAAAAAAGAAAATGTTGAAAATTTCAGTCAAATTACTTTGTTCTGAACGTAACTGTCACTGTTAAAAGTTTGGACCAGAAATAGGCATCAATTGTGTCTGCACCGTCAATGAGAATTGGCGATCGTTTGATTGACAGACGATAACTCCACCCATGCTCAATGGCAATGGCAGCCTCGCTTGACAGGCCTTTCATCACCAGTTTCCGGTAGTGACATCAGCGACTAACGGTAAATGTTAGCTTGGTCCGCCATTCATTGATTTAATTTTAAATGGACGACGTTTAAATCCAAATTGTATCCAAACCATCCGTGGGTCTACAGAGTTGATGAGCAATGTTTGGCACAAAGTCGAATAAATTGTCGGCGATGCATGTGTCGATGTATTTCAATGACAGTGTCAACTTTGAAATAAGCGAGTAACCACCGACTTGGGAAATGTCGTCCCAGATAACTTCCGACATATCAACGACAGTCAAATAATGCGCACCGAATATCCGTGATGAAAATGCCACATAATAAATATTTCAAATTCAGCCTGAAAAACTATCAGATTGTCGGCGGCAAAAAAATCATTAGTGTGCACGAACGCAACGTGTGGGATGGCAGAGTTACTTAGTGCCAGTACAGGTTGTCTAATTCTGGTAAAAAAAAACCCACAAAACTCCTGTATTTTAGCAATATATCTACATGCAGACTTTATATTGTATCTCTAAACACAGTGTAGTCAACCACACGGAAGACCCCTCCTTTAAATCAGCTATTCACCATGAACAGATAGCAGACAAATCATATACCGTTCTTATTCATTGAACACAATCAATACATAACTCATAAATAATCGTCAGAGACGAAGTCATATTCGTCAGTTTATGGTTACAAAACAATCCTCAGCTGTATTACGAGAAACTGCAATATTGAAACTGGGGACAAAATGGTTCACCAGCAACTGACCGATTTTAAGAGTTGGTTGAGTTAGGTGTTTAACGCAAATGATTACCACATAAAATGGAATTAAAAAGCAGATGTCATAAACATGGCATAATTTGTCAGACAATAAAACGTTTGTATTTTTCCTTCTGGGACACAATTCACAAAAAGTTAAACCTTTTGCCACCTGTGCATCTTGTCCCGTTGTGAATAAATCAGATCTTACACATCTTAAAGGCAGAAAAAGAAATTTTTTTCAAAACCGTGGCCAAATTTAAATAGGTCAGTCAGTACTTGGATTTTCGATAGTAAGGTAAGGTTACGTTTATATGAATATATTTTCTCTGAGAAACCAGAAATTAATTCGACTTCAAATTCACTATATCATGGCATAGTTTATTATCAGATTTCTATCCATATATAGAATTCCCATACAATACGTTGCCACCTGTACAATAAGGTCCATATTAAGCGGTTTTCCTTTTTACCAAACAAGAGGTATTTCTGTCTCCATAAATAATTATCGACTGTCATGTCCTATGTCAGCATTTATCAGTGAACTTAATTCGAAAGATTAAAAACCACCAAGTGGTCCAAAATACTTTATTTTAAAAAGGGATAAATGCAACTGTGTTATATAATAAAAAGAAAGCTTAAATCTTAAATGAATTAGGTTTTATTTAGATCAATTATTATTTCATGAAAAACTATATTATAAAAAGGGAACAGTTAGCAAAAATGGGGCTAGACTGTCTACAGTTATTATTAATAATATTTCGTTTCGTTTTCATTTCTTCCTTAATTATAATAAGAGACATCACCCTACCAATTTATAAATTATCGTGACATATTATTATTCATAAATTAAAGACCATTCAGCCAGATTATTTCACTACTATACAGTATTTGACATCTGGAGCAGGCCATAAAATGCACTGTGTATTTTTGTAAATAGAAACATATACAAAAAATCTCGGATTAAAATAGTAAGTGCGCGATAATAATTTTCTAGATAGTTGGGGTTCTAGAAGAAGTACTTGGTAAACATCATACCATAAAATGATACACTTGGATTATTTTCGATTGGGGTCATTTAAAAGAGCCCGAAAACTATAGTGTCCATTCATTTATGTTATTTTGTCGCTCTTAAAGGAGAAGTCTCGCCTGTAAGACTCTTATGTCGGTTACATATGCCCAAACTGTTTTTCACACTTTGTGTAATGAATTTAAACCCTATGTCTTGTATGTCATAACAATTTTTCTCTAGTCTTTATACTTGTAATTAATGACATGACAAATTGCAGCTCTATAAATGTATAATATATGTTATTGTGTCTAGTTTA